CAAACCCCCCCCAAAACCTGTGTCCTGTGCTGCTTTTTGGGAAGTGTTCTGAAACTGGGATACAAATAAACCAGAAAATGTCAGAAATGTAGGCTTCATACCTCATCACTGCTGCCGGTAGTTCAGGTTGTCTTTTAAAACCCTGCCAGCAGATTTCTGATGAAGCTCCTGTTAAAAATCCAAAACAACAAAGCAAAGAAACAAAAAAACCAACCCCCAACCATCCCAAAACAAAAAACCTCAACAGTTTATGAGGCTCGGAATGAGGTTTTAACGTAGCAAGAATGGTAATTAGTCCATATAGTTGCTTTGAAGAAAGCTTCAAAATGAATTCTCATTGTAATGGGGGGAAAAAGTATTTTCCCAAATCAATTCCTTCTAATCTCTAAATTTCAGTTGGTGTATTTTTTCCACAAAATTACCAAAAGCTATTGACCTGAGGGATTTGTTTTCCGTTCTGAAGTCTTGAAATTTTCCTCCTGGCTAATTACAGCCTATTACTCTAGACTTTGGTCCTTTAGCAGTAACATTTTCCATCTTAAGATGGGTTGTCCCATTCCAGTGAAGAGCATGTTGTCTGAGCACTGAATGGAATTACTACCAGTGGAAACTATGCTGCAAGAGGCTCGATAAAGCAGCTGCTGTGCAAACCTCAGCTGTTTTTTCCATCCTCCCGAGCGCTGGTAATTAGCATAGGGAAGCTGACTAATGTGCTGACGTCACCTCTTTCCAGTCGCAGCTTACATTTTGTTCCTGACTGCCTCAAAGCATGCAGGACTTTGTTCAGGAATTCGCTGTCACATACAGGATGCTCTGAAACCTTTCTTTCTTTTTTTTTTTTTTTGAGGGGCTGGACTTGTTTCCCTTATAAACGCTGCCTGCAGGACCAACGGCTTCCTTAAGTCATTGGTTTCTGCGGAACAGCAAGTATCGCTTTGGCGAAGAACAAAATGCATTTTAGAAATTTTAACTACAGTTTTAGTTCTCTGATTGCCTGTGTGGCAGATAGCGATGTCTTCAATCAAGCAGAAACAAGGGTATGCTTTATCTTTTGTGATTTATTTCTGTGAACTACTGGAATACTAAAGTATGTAGGTGCTGTTTCAAATTGTTTAAAAATACGGATGCCTTGATAGCTTTTTGACTTGTAAGAAAATTTCAGTTTGATGTGAGGGTCTTGGGTCTTACAAGTCTGCAATAGTATGCTCTGATATGAATGACTCTAACTCTGGAAATTATTAGATCTTAAGCTATGTGCTTTTGAAAATGATCAGAAGTTTACCTCCAGACTTCCTTGACTGTCCGTGTAGTGTATTCTTCACTTGCGTATGTGTTTTCAGCAAATGTTTAGATTATAATTTTCGTAGTAAGAGTCGCATAATTTATAGTACACTTTATACTTTTTGTGGGATTTTTTGGCTGGCACTTTAGTTAAGAGTATAATGTTAAAACTATAAGAAGTCCTCTTGGATTTGTATTTAACTGATTAGAATTAATATAATGTAAGTAATCCATTTCTGATACAGTGAATTGTTGACTGCTAAGATACCTTAGGGACAAAAATAACCTTTTGTTTAGTGTTGTATTGCTAGCATGACATTTTAAAAAAACTATATATATTGCACAAATCTCGCAGGTACTCTCTGAGTTTAAATGTTGAATGTGTACTTCGAAATGCAATTTAGCGTGGGTTTGGCTTACTTTTCATGGTTGCATCCAGCTCTCTGGAGTACAGGAGGCTAACAAATACAGGCTTTGTGTGCAGAGGATCCTGGTCTTGTTTCAGAGCTCATTTTGAAGAAGTTTAAGTGTGGCTCGGCAAGAAGCAGGACAGCTCTGATTTTAAAATATCTTTGAAATATAGTGGTTCTGTATATAGCTGTGACAAGTTTGTGAAGCAGAGGTTTTCAGGAAGGAAAATGAAATTGTGAAGTAATCACTGCCGCCTTATGTAATCTTTGTTGCTTTTTTCTACTAATTCGGACTGTAACAGTAAAAAAAATGAGGCAATGTGATTTTACATACTTGTTTATTTTGGCTTTGTATTGAACTACTAGTAAGCTTTTATGAAGAGAACATATCTGAAAATACTGAAATCTGAATGCTTGGTCTATTGCTGACACTGAAATAAGTCTTGTGACTGGTTACTGTGTTCTCAATGTGAGCCTGAAACACTTTGCAAGAGCGTGGCAGCTTCAGAACCTCCTGCTTCTTTCTCTTCCTTTGGTCTGGCATCCTGAAGTAAGAGTAGAAGCACTCTTTATATAAATGATATGAAAAATAGCCAAGTTGGGTTTGCATAGATGCCCTAGGAGCACAAACCCAAAGTGCAAAATGGAGATAGCCAGCTGTTGGTAAAGGTGCTTCAGTCTTTTTACGCAGATAGGACAGCAAAGTAACTCAGCTGCAGATCTATGAAGGTATGAGGTTTTGGTCCAGTTCCTACTCTTACTACACAGTCAAAACAAAAAGCGTGTCAAAGGCCCTTTAGGAGCTGTATGGTTAGTACTTAAGATTTTGGAAAGATAGTGGGAGCCTTTTTAGAATTTGGTTCCAGAAATAGAAGATTAAACTAGAGTTCAGTAATATGGTCATTTTCCTAAATGAAAGTAGCATCTATTAAAACAGGAGATGTTCATGAACTTTATTATGCATGCTGAGTCACTGAAGAAAATTACATTTAGCTTGCAAATATGCTTTTTTCATTTTTCTCTGTTAAAACTGTTGTGTTGGTTTCCTTGAAAATTGCACACTTAGACAAAGGCATGCTTGGCAGACTTTTTTCAGGCCGTTGGATATTAATTTTATAAGACAAGCATTTATTTTCAATATCTTACCAATACTATTTCTATTATGTCACTAAATCAGAGTATCATGTCCAACACTTATTAATTATAATCTATTTTTTAATAAGGAAGAAAAAAGCTGCTGTAGAGAAAACAAGTGATAAGATAGAAAAATTCATTATAAAAAGAGAGAGGAAGAAAACTAAATCTAAGCTGTTTTAAATACATCAATATTCAAGAGTGGTAGTATGCCCCTACTAGTAACGGCAATTTATTTCTGCATTTCTTTAGAGAAAATGTAGTGGTTTGCATATTCACTTGCTTCTCTGGTCCTTTCTTTTCAGGCCAAATTTGAATCGCTGTTTAGAACATACGACAGAGATATCACCTTTCAGTATTTTAAGAGCTTCAAAAGAGTACGAATAAATTTCAGTAACCCTTTATCTGCAGCAGATGCTAGAATCCAGTTGCACAAGACAGAGTTCCTTGGAAAGGAAATAAAACTGTATTTTGCTCAGGTAAGTCTTTTTGTGATTATCCTTACAAGGTACTAAAGCATAACTTATAAGCTTCCGCAGGTCTTCAGTCACGCTAATGAACACTGTTAAATTTTTCGGTTTGATTAGAGAATCACAGGTTGTTCCAAAGCTACAAGTATTTGGAGGCTGTTGCATATTTTATGTCTCCCTCTGTATTGTTTTGATAACCTTGGGGAAAGGGAGTAGGTGATAGTAATCAGCATGGTCAAAGATAGAGTTTAACAGGGTGGGGGAAGCCAAGTGTGCTCTGCCAACAGTACATACCTGCGTGCTCAAGTAGTATCTGAGGGAGTCCAAACTGTAGAGCTGCACATTCAGGACTCTACCTGTTGATCCTGCTTTCACTCCTGCAAATTGTTTGTTTAGCACATGTTTGTACTTGGAGATTGCCATCAGTGCAGCTCTATAGCTGGCTAGCGTCTGCTGCTAAAGATGTGAAACTCTCTCAGGTTCTGGTAATCTGGGTGCTTTTTGGTAGCTGCTGTGTATTTTCCTCCGTAAATTTAATGGGAAAATTAATCTATGTGTGTCTGTTTCAGATGTCCCTAGGGACAGTCCTGAAGGAGCCAGTTTATTTATATATCTTCTAGAATTCTCACTTGTGGTAATGAGTTTCAACACCATTTGTCATTAGGCCTTAAAGCCCATATCCAGCTTCCTCCTATTTCAGTATCTTAAGGACAGATATTTTCTGGTGAAATTTTTGTAAAACTCCATAATGAGAAGATGCGGATGTGCATACTTCATTGCATGTTTCATCAGAGTTAATGAATGTGGTGGCTTGTCTGTATTTTGTATACTGGGTCTTTCATATAGCTCTCTTCAATAATATAGTTACATGCTGCCACCTTCAGTGCCTGTTACAGCATAACATCTATCCAAACCCTAAAATTCCTCATGAATGATGGATTCATTGACAATAGTGAAACAGCTTTGGCTTTTATGCTTTTTTCAGACTTTGCACATTGGAAGCTCGCATTTGGCACCACCAAATCCAGACAAACAGTTTTTGATTTCACCTCCAGCCTCTCCACCTGTTGATTGGAAGCAAGTAGAAGATGCTACTCCAGTCATTAACTATGACCTTTTATATGCTATCTCCAAGTTAGGACCAGGTAAGAAGGAGTAGAAGCACTAGAATTCTGGTTGAGTAAAACACCTTTTAAACTTTCTGAATTTCTAGAACTTTTCAAATGAATTACTATCTACCAATTAAATTTGTAATACCAGAAAAAGTGTTAGTAAACAGTAGTTTCTTACACATATAGTAATTCCACAGGATCATTTGGAGGGCCCAGACCTCCACAATGTGATCTGTTTTGTGGTTTGTAGAGAGCATGAATGTTGCTTCAATAATATATTAGCTTGTTCATCAGAATTTTCAGGAAGAAGCTTCCTGAAAATGAAGAGGCACTCATGTAGTTACATACCTTTTGAAGCGATGGGAAAGTCCTGTTTCAGACTGAGACAATGAACCAGTTAACAGCTGTGTAGCTCTGTGCTAGAATTACCTCTGAGATAGTAGTATATATAGGAGGGAAACTATCAGTATCAACCTAATTTTCTTTTGGAGTTAAGAGAGAGAAGTTTCTGCCACTCCTTGCTCCTTCTAATTTTCATCTGTTGCAATTTATTCATTTTTTGGAAGCTTTGAGATGGCTTCACCCTGGAAAGGAAAAAAGTTTGTATCGGGTTCCTCTTTCTTCCCCACTGTCCAAACTAGAGGAGATATTAAGAATGTACACTTACCCCTTATTTCTAGTGCTGTCCCATAAATTGCTTGTCATTTCAGCTAACCATGCTGTGTAGACTGCTTATAGGTCTATTAAAAATAGATAGCACCACAGATAGGAGAAACAGTTCTACCTGCTATTTGTGTTTTAAACCAAATACTGCTTTCAGAAATACATGTAAAGATCCACTAAACTGAACTGTTATTTTAAACATGGTTCTGCTTTTCAGTGGTTGATGATCACATCCCTTGATGTCATTTAGTACCTCAGTTAAGACAACCTTCTCAATGAGAATTGCTGCAAATTATATTTCCCAAAATCTGCAACTCTGATTTAACTTGTTTGCAACTGTACTCTTAAGTTTAGGGGAGAGAAAAAATAGCCACATTTAGTATCAAAGAGAATAAAAACTGTAGTCTGAATCGTTTTACTGTCGTATTTTTATATACCTGTTTACCTACCAACTTAGGGAATGCATCTTATTATGTCAGTAGTAAGGGGTGGAGAACAGGGTGGGGCAGAACTTTTAGCTCCTCATACATCAGCTTTCTATGTAGTAGTTTATGGTTGACTGTATGCTGGTGATATCCGAAGATTCTAGTGAAAATAACGTGCATCTTACAAACCACTAAGGGAATTCTTCTTACCTGTGAAAATTCAGCCCTTTGCAGGGACAAAATCTATGCTTATGCTGGCATAAAAATTGGGGTAGATTATTGCCAGTTTTTAATAAGTACCATCTTTTAAACAGTGTGTGAATTATAATGGCAAGAACAAATTATAGGAAAGATATTACAGTTAGAAGTGGAGGTACAAAACGCTGCCACGAATCATTTCTTTATCCAGAAATATGTAAACTAAGCAGATGATCCTGCATGTAGGTCTTTAAAACCATCCCTCAAGAATACTGCTGACATACTAAATGTTTTTATCAAAGTTTTTATTTTCCTGAAAGCAGTTTTTGAAACAGAAGTCCTATAAGACTATGCTTGTCGGAATAAAAGTTGGTTTTGATGAAACATGTGGAATGAATAAATAAATACCATTACAGCTTACTGACTTTATGAAAGTTCAGAGCTTGCTCCATGGGTGGTGCTTTCTTTACTACAAGCTTTCCTTTCAAGTTTTAGCAATACCAAAAAGAAACGTGTAGGTCTTAAAATAAATACATAAGGGCTTACTAAGCAGTAAAAGTTGGTCCTTTTTCCCCTGAAAGTGCTGTTATTGAGATGTCCTGCAGTAAGCTCATTGGCAGATCTGTGATCCCTTTTCCCACGAGATTTTTCATAGATATTGTGAATGTTGAGCCCTATAAAGCTTTGCCTCTTGACTGTGATGTTCATTGGAACACAGAGTTAATGACTTGGTACCAAGGAGCAAGCAAGGATTACTCTAGCACAATGGCTCGTGTGTTTCTGAAGAACTGGAGGCAAGAGCCTTTTCCTCTATGGAACTGCTCTTTGTACCAGTTCCCCTTCCTAAAGTTCTCAGGGAAACAGAGCAGAGACCACTTCAGAGCCCTGGCACACTAAAGTGTGCTGCTTGCCACAGGTGTTAGCTCTTTTGAACAGCTGATGTGCAAGATCACTGTAGTGGTCTTAGTGGAGGCTGTTCTCTCCACTGAGAGGTAATGGGTATAACGTAACAAGAAAAAAATTAAGGGGAGCTGATCAGGGAAGCGGTGAAAAGAAATAGTTTGCCCTTTCCCTGATCTAATATAAGATTAAAATTATTTAACACCTGGTTAGATTTAAAAGCAATTCTTTATATTATGGAAAAAAAACAGATCAATAAAATTCATATCATAGCTCTTCTACACACTGGCTGTATTATATCTGAGAGTTTCACATTATATATGCATGAAGCCTGCTGTCTAGCTCCGCTGCTCCACAGAATGCCAGAACAGTGTTAGAGCACGTCTGTGTGAGATGGGAAGAACTGCATCCAGCTTTTTGGGGGAAGGAAGATCCTGTGGTTTTGCCGTCATTCAGGAAAACAAAGTCTTCCTGAATGTGGTACAGTGGGTAGATAATCTCGTACGCTTTAAAATGACAAAAACCCACCAAGAAGACTTATGACTGCTCATGTAGAACGCTTTCTTGAATGCCTAGGGTAATTTACATAAACTTGCTTTTAAGAGAGCAGCTGAGCTATGTTGCTTTGAAAACAGAACCTAAATACTTCTCGATGGTAAATGTGACTGTTGGCAATGCACCTGCCTGCACCATCTAATGACCATCTAATGCGTTGTGGCATCAGGCTTTTGTCATCAGTGTATTACTTACACATTTTTATGTATTCCTTTCTTTTTAGTAATTTCTTTCATAATTTGCTACAGAATGGATCCTTTTTAACCAGTTTTGTTAATATTTTAACTTTCAGGAGAAAAGTATGAGCTACATGCTGCAACTGACACTACTCCCAGTGTTGTCGTCCACGTATGTGAGAGTGACCAGGAAAACGATGTGGAAGAAGAAACGAAGAAACCCAAACCAAAAATTATTCAGACGAGAAGGCCAGATTATACTCCTACACATTTAAGTTGAACTGCTGTTGTTTTTCCAAGGGTTACAAGTAGACATATGCAAGGGAAACTTTTACTGTGGAAACAGCAGCTCACAGGTGTGGTGGCAACAGCAGCAGTTATAGTAGGAGAAATTCCAATATAAGTTTGCTCAAAAAAATATAGGAAGTTTCATCCTTATTTTTGATGCTGCGGGTTGATGGATGTCATGAGTGTATTCCCAGATCACTGGGAACAAAAGATAGGCAGAAGAAGACATTTGGAGACATAACAGGACAAACTAGGTTTATTTTTTTGGGGGTACTATAGGCTGTTCCATTATAAAGCAACTGGGGGAAGCTTTCTTTGTTCTGACTCACATAAATCCTCAAACTAATAGGCTAGTCATTGTGTGGAGTACATAGCGATAACAGAGGTGGTTTTAAAGATTAAAGTATGGGAATTGTAAACCTTTTTCTTATAATAGATTTTGTGCATGTGTATTCTTGGTCTTCTAAAGTAACTTTGCATTATTTTCTATAGTTTCTCACATGTTTCTGAAAATCTGGGAAATTGTTTAAAGTATTTATTATCTCAGCATCCCGGACTTACTACTAGGTGTGTATATACATATATATTTATATTTGTTTTTATTGGCACTCATTTTCCAGCAGGCATACAATTTCTTCGGCACCTTATTTTGGTGCTATGTAACTTGTGCTTTTAAAAATTTAATCTTTTAAATGCCTATATAGGGTTTTATCTGGCAAAGTAATGGGAAAAAAGTGCAATAGGAAGGTTGTTTAAATAAGTTGATTTTAAATTATTTAAGTTTAAATAATTTATATCTTCAATAACATTTGTTCGGTAGCTTTGACTTTCTCATTTGGAAAAAAAGTACTCTTAAATGTACAAATAAAGCTAATGTTGCAATGTAATTTTTCAGTGAAAAAAATGGTAATGGAGAGACGTGAACTCTACTCAGTATGTGAATCTGCATTGTTGTGAGCAAAAGATTAACAGTGATTGAAAAATTGCACACATTGTGTAGAACAGCGAAGAGAGATGGAGTGCCTTTTCCTCATTCATTCCTGATGTGAACTGTTCTACAAGCTGCACACTTGTATCTTTTTCTACTGGCTTTGTATGTCCATAAATATAAACTTTCTTAGTTTTGCTTTGAAAATAAGCTGGTATTTAGAAATGCTTAATGCCAAGTAATGACGCATACTTAAGTAATGAGTATACGTGGGAGAAGCTTTCGGGTTTTTTACATGTTAGTGTTTAAAAACAGTAGCTCATGACATACAAGTTTAGAGAAGAAAGATGGCAGAAGTGTATTTTATTACTTGTTTTTTAAAATTGAGATTCTCACTTTGAAATAAGTTTCAGTATTTTTTTTAAGAGATAGTAACTGATATCTGTGGGAAAATATCACTTACAGTTTTAGAAAGGGGATGTTTGAAGCTTCTCAACATGTTTTTAGAAGTCAAAGCATGGTTCTCTGTTGGTTTGCTTTTGCCACAGTTGGTCTGAGAATGAGTTTTGTAGCTGGAGTTAATATAAAGAAATCCATTCTGTGGATTTGAAGCAAACATTGACTTAAATGTCCAGGTTCACACCTTGTTTTTTAAATAAAAAATATATATTAAGAAAGTAAGATGTATAATGAAGCCATTCCAAGCTGTGGTGCAGTGTAAACGTGGTGTTATTGAAGGCCTGTCATTATACTAAGCAAAATAGAAATTGGTATCCTGTGACTACAGAGAGCAGGAATATATTGAACTTCAGTAATACTTGCAGATATATCTTGTTTTTATTGGTATGCCCTGTAAACTGAAACTAACACTGGTACTTGGTGTCTGTCTTGGACCTAACTCAAGTGGCACACTCTCCATGTTAACAGTGTTAAGAGCTAATGCCATGTATTGCTGGAGCTGCATTTTATGCACATGGGGGTGCATAAGCTTATTTAAGGTGTAACAATCTGCTGGATACATGTACTGCTTAATAACACACAAAATAAATAAAATGGAGAGAAACTTTGTAGGTTTGCCACAGCTGCCTTTAAGCCTTTCCAAGATCTTTTTTCCATGTTTCTCAAATTACTGCTGGACTTAGTGTTTCTCTTCATTCAATTTAGAATTGTTGGAATAATTCCTGTTCTGTCCTTTCTCCATCTTTCCATGATTACCAATCAAAGCATTAGTTTTGCAATAGAAACCCAGGTAGTTGCTGTTCTGTTTCCTAGCAATCCTAAGAAAGCAGTGCTACCTTTCAATTAAAAAGAACAGAATATTAAATACCAATATGGTTTTCGTCATTTTGGTACACTGACATCTGCCTGATAAGGTGGGCACTAGAAACCATGGAAGTCTTGGGATGGTTACAGTGTGTTTCCCCTTCTGATGGTAATTCTGATGGTAAACAAAGGTTGTGAGACAGTAACTTGCCTGTGTTTCTGGTTGTATATCCTGGCTTGTGCCACCTTCTGTTATCATTACTACAGTGTGCTGCTTGCTTTTTCAGGGTTTGGGTTTTTTTTTCCTAATGTGCAAATGAATGCTTAGTTGGTATTTTATACAGTTGTATAGTATGGGGCATATTTAAATTAAAATATTTTGTTGTCTTCTTGTAAATGTCGTGATATTTATGCGTGAAACTAGTTGAAGATTTTGTGCCAAAATCTGAACTTTAAGCTTCCAAACACTTCTAATTTGAAAAAGGTAAGAATATTGTCCCAGCTCACATCCTTACCAACCAAACCAAATGAATTTATTCAGAGAAAAGCTTTCCACCCTTCTGCTTAAGAGACTTGCATGATCTCAATCAAAGTATGAGAATCTACTAATGAATAAAATACAGTCCAGAATATTCCAGTTAAAAACTGATTCTTCTATGCCTGAAGTTGATGTGCTTCCTAATAAAGGTATCAACATCTTGCTATTCTATAATAATCCCTGTGCCTTCATAATATCCTTGCCAGTTTTCTTCTACAACATGACTAATTCTATTTTTAAAGCTCTTGGAATGTGAAAATATATCAGCATTTAAATGGCTTTACCTAGTAACTGTAAGTCTTTGTTTTGCAAAACGTGTTACGCAGAAATGCATTGAAGGTTTCGCTCTCGATATGGATAGAAATCCTTTCATGGCAGAAAGGAGTTATTGATATTAATGCTCATCATTCTTCCCTTCTTACGACTGGGAAGTATTGATGTTTGTAAGAAATTGTTCATACACAGAAGTGATTTGAAATAGCGAAGTGCTGCTGCTCATCAATAGCAGTCCCATCCAGGGGAATTTCTGTGTAGAGTAACAGAAGTAACTTGGTCCTTAAGCGATCTAACAAAAGATAGAAGGTGAAATAGCAATTCCAACTGAGCCATCCTGCTTTACATAGATGACCTCATTTCCCTTTCTCTTTGGGAGTATAGCTTGTGTTTTATTGTTTGCCCTCTGCATAAGAATAGCATGCACAGTCTCCGTAAATCTGTAAGTGATCACTAGCATCTGTCATTTTGCAAGACTTGTTGCCAGCTTAGTGATACACATTCCTATTGTTGGATTATGCATTTGTGCATGCATTACTACATTAAGGACCGACCTTGTTACCAAGGTGAATATGTAAGACGTGAGTTTGTAACATGTAAGACTAAAGTTTGTTTCTAATCAGGGTGTTGTTTTTCAGAGCAGCAACAAGTGTAGTAACTTTGATATTTGAAATACTAGACAAGTGTATTAGTTGTTCTTCTTGTGTAGTCCAGACTTGTCAAGGGTGGGGAAGGAATGAACTCCAGCAGCTCTCTCTCATACCATTTTTAACAGTTACAGCACAGATTTTGCCCTGCCTAGTCACCTGCCTAGTCAAGTTTTGCTTTGTCACACTAAAAAAAACGTCTTGGGGAAGACAAGTTCTTTAACTTGAAATTGTGATTTGTATCTATAAAGCTTGCTTGCTTGTTCTGGTGTCCCGAACCCTCTCCCAGTTCCAAACATAAAAAATGATCGCAAGGGGTAGAGCTTTACTCTAGGCATAGACTAAGTTCAGAAATTCACTTACTAGGTCTTGGGTTCAGCTGTTGGCGCTGCTTCTATCATCTTTGCTTTTATCCCAACACACTTTAGAAACATTTTGCAGAAAATTATACCTGCTTAATGCTTTTAATAATTCATATTCGGATGTCTAAAAAGAAGAAAACAAAACCAATAACAACAAAGATAAAACATCGCCCAAGATACTGTACATTACAAAGGTGACTCGTCTGATAGGAAGGTGACAGGATGGGTCTGGCAGGACTGGATTTATCTTCTCTGACAAAATTTCTGTTCATAAAGTAGTGACTATCACACTTGAAACTTTTTGTCACTTACCTGGTCTGTATTTATGTATCTAAAATTATAGCATCTCTGTGATCTTACTTTTTTTTCTTCTTTTTTTGAGTAACTGGCAGGCAGTTGGTTTTTTTTACTGTGGTACACTCCATCTGAGGTATGAAAAGAAGTAAAATGATGGGAGTTTAACTATGAAAGTTTGAACAGGTGGAGGAAGAGGCAGAGGCTCCAAGTGGCACTTTGTCACTATTGGCAGTCATGTGACCCGTTCTGGTTTGGACTTTCTGCCTCTCAAAGACCAGCTCAAGAAGCTCCAGTTCTTCCTAATGTTGCTTCCTGCTCTCACCCCTGCCCTTCTTCCACAAGATGTCATTCCATATTTCCAAAAGACTGAGAGTCTCTGAGGTTTACAAGCATTTCCTAGGTAGTCTTTCTGAAATCACTTTTTCTCTTATGCGAGGATAGGCACAGCTCCGTGTCTGTGGCTTCTGAGCTTTGTTACAGGCTTTACAAAGGTTTTGCAAAGGTCTTGTGTGCTGGTAGCACATCACGGGGGAGCACTAATGGGAAATTTTTCAGTAGGCTTCAGTCTGATGCTGCTCTTGCTGCTAGATGTGGAGTCTGTCAGTAATGACTTTCATGTTTGGAGTGATTATGTATTTACAGATTGCACTTTGTAGTCTCAATCCTTTTCATAGAGTGTGAATTTGTTGGGGTGGGGTTTTTTGGATTTTGTGTTTTTGTCCCATCTTGAAATCTTTCTTCCACTTTGCCTTTTTTTTTTTTGTCCTTCTTCCTTCTGGCCACTGTTGTAAGAGACAACAAAAAATGTTTTTACAAGTATATTAATGACAAAAAGAGAGCCAAGGAGAATCTCCA